ATAAATTTATAAGTTAAACTACATTTTAATGTGCAATCTTGATTATAAAATATGTATATATATATATTAGTATTTATCAATAATTTTTAAGAAAATTAAAAAATACCTCAAAATTAAGTCATTTCATTAAAAAATACAACGAAAAATCAAAGCAAACTTAGTTTTAGTTTAAAAATATATTATTTTAATTTTTTGAATAAAAATTATTCAAAACAACCTAATTATGAAGGTCTTTTTGCCCTTAATTTATTAAAACTCCCCCCCACAAAAACACCCACGCTTTTATACGACTCTTACATTAGTTCCTTCTCATTCTATGATGTTAGTCTAATAAACTGTACCAACTTTATTAAAATAAACTATCCTTCGTGTTGGTATTTATCTGTAAATCCACAGTTATAAGCAGAAATACAAAGATGGGCTGTCAATAACAAGTATACTAACTTCTTTAATCAAATAAAATATACTAATTGAACAGCCTACTCTCATCCAATGATATGAATCCTAAATTATAACTGTTCATCTCCAATGACTATTCGAGTCTCACCGAATCCCTTCTTTCTTCTCCCAAATAAGATGTAAATAATTTCAAATCTGTTCAAAAAAATAAAGTATACTAACTCCTAAAAGAGTGAGCAACATGAATACTCAATGCCTTAAAATAATTAAGCAGAGGAAATCAAGCTCCTTGAAGGTTAAAAAAAAAATCTTACATGGCAACTTGTTTCAAATGTATTTCAGACTCACAAATTTGACTTTACATATATCCATCCCTTCTATCTTGTTCCTCAGCTTCCTTGTTAGCAGCTTGAACAGATTTGAACCAAAGAAATGCCTGTATATATATACCCAATACAACATCAAGTAGAGCTTAATGTGATTTACTTACAATTAATTCAATTTTTTAACAACGCAATTTCTCCTCATTGCAAAATGAAATTTCAAGCCTCAAGAACTAAATACCATGGAGACAGGCTGAGAAAACATAAAAAATGAGAAGATAATAATAATAAGTAGGAGAACTTACAGAAGTAGGAATTCCAGTAAATGCAAAAAACCCGAGCAACGGTGCATAGAAAATGCTGTCTGAGTTCAGAACCCCAAATACAGGCCTCTGGTTGACATACTCAAACACTGAACCAATCTGCAACATTATCATCAAGACCACAAAATTAATCACTCATCAAAATTTCATGGGTCAGAAAGCTAAAAGCAGGAAAATAACAAGAAGCATACAGCAGCAATTGCAGTGATGGCTGAGGCAAGCAAGTACACAAAGAAGGGGATCTCAAAGCTCTCCCCTGCAGCGTTATCTTTCCCCTCATCCCGAGCCCAAGGCGGCGGCTCGTCGGAATCGGGTTTGGCCCAAGACGGTACAGTTTCTTCTGACTTGCTCGACTTAGCCGAACCTTCAGTTGCAGCAACCACAACAAAACCACTAAAAGGCTTCTTCTTTTGGCACCCATTACAATTTTTCTCGATGGGTTTATCAAATATTCTTCGTTTCAAGCCGGAAATCAAAGTTGGGTATGGTGAGTTTTCCTTGACAAAGCCATGGATTGCATTTGTGTTGTATGAAAGTAAGGTAGCAGCCATCATATCTCGCCCAAGATAGACTGAAGTCAATAGTAATAAGAAGATGCAGATGTTTTTAGCATTGGATGGATGGGGATTCTGAGGCCATTATCGGGTAAAATGCAGCGAGATCTTCCATCTTGAAGGAGAGAAGAACAAAGGAGACGAAAAGAGGGACATCAACTACTGGATAAGATTTTACTGGTCAAATGGCTAGATTTGATTTGATGGGCTTATTTTATATTTGGGTCTAATTTGTTTGGGCTTTTCCATTTCGATATTTTGGTTTTTGAGTTGAAACTGAAAGACTCTGGGCCTGAGAATATTTTAAATTAAAAATAAAAGAAACATTTGACATAAATTTCTAATTCAGGAGGTATCTATAGGCAAGAGAAGTTCAGCTGCAGTATTAAATACAATCCATAATTATATTGACGACGAATATAAATAATTAAGCTTAGAGGGTTGTTTATATTTAAATATTGTCATTCAATTACTATAAAAATATTAATAGAGCTAAAAAAGTAAAAAGAATATTATCTTAAGCATTTTAAATTACTAGACATCCCTATTTATCACGCCAAATTACAAGGTGAGCAAGCAATTTGACAAACAATAATCTCTATCTACTTAATGTCAAAGAAGGACATGCACTAGTTTAGAGGAGATTTGTTAGATTCTCTTTCTATGATCATCCAAGTCATGCTTGAATTAATATATAGGAAAGTCACAACCATGCTATGGTTCTCTTCAACCTATAGCAAAAACCAATGAAAACCATTGAGAGAGCTCAAGAAGAAACCCTAAAAAAGAGAGAGAAACTCCTATAAATGAGAGAAAACTCTTAAAGAGGAAGAAACTTTCACTTTTACTTATCCTCCCTAGCCATTGAACTCAAACTTGAAACCAAGTGCATACAAAAGTGGTTTAAACACTTTATCTACCAGGTGGTTTGCCTGAAGCTGGAGATCTTTTAGTGGAAATAGAAGATTATATTAGGCAAAATAGCAAACATACACTATAACCTAGAAAGCAGACTCCCATCATATCCACATTATGGTGCGAAACAAGCCCAGAAGGGCAATGGTCAAAAACAGCAAAATCAAGAGACAGTTAATGGCCCAATGCAGCAAGGCGATCTGCACATTGATTAGCCTCCCTATAAACATGTTGAATTGAGCTGGGGATTACCTTTCATGAGAAAAGAGCCTTATTTTTTTATTATTTTTTTTTTTTTGAGAAAAGAAAAATCTAAATGCCTTAACATTAAAAATATTAAAATGTCCATATCTTTATTTTCCTTGTTATATTTTTTATCTTTTAGGAAGGTGGGAATCTGTAAAGTTCAAATCCTTTCAACTTGTGATGTCTCTTATTAGAATATAATATATATTACCTTAAGTGAAGAGTTAATCATAATTATATAATTATTATTATATAGTATTGTAAAATTTTATTCTTACAGATGATTATATGTGGGCTATTTTTCTTAATGAATCATTGGTTTCGGTTTTGTGACTTCTAAAATTGTAGTAATTAAAACAAAGAACCATATAATTGGTGTTGATATGAACACGACATGACTCTTAGTTGTCAACCCTATATTTTGATAAAGAATAAATTATTACTGAGAAGTCAACCCAATTATCAAAAAGCAAGCCAATACGGTTGAACTAAATATCGGTATCTTACAACACTTGTAAAACAGCTAATTTAATATCACAATACAAAAAATACAAAAAAAATCAAAATAAAACAAAATGAAATTTATTTATTCTTATTATCAGAAAATAAAAAACAAAAAATAAAAAAAAAAAAAAATAACCATCCTCTTTTCAAATCCATTCCCCGTGTTCTAGGATTTAAACTCATCACATCTAACATTGAGATTCAAACTCTACCTAGGACATGCCTATTGTACACAGTAAATTCTACTTAGGTTATTGTCATATCATAGCCGTACGCCTACTTCCCTCATCCATATCCAAAATGGATATCAGATCAACCAGCTTTTAGTACAATCCGTTGGCCTTATAAAAACTCTCAACTCCCACATAAATGGTAGGGGACAGATGGGGAAGAAAGCATGGAGACAGCACAGCTTCACATGACCAGCCCATTCTTCTCTTCATCTTTGCCTAATGCATTTCCACAGATCCATTCTGTTATTATACACCTTTCGCCTAATGCATACTGCCAGATATGCTCTAATACCTTACCATTCAAAAGTACAGACAAGGTCAGCTGAATAACATGCAAGGTCAACAAAAACGCACAGACAAAAAGGAAGGTTGAGAGGTGGGTGTCTGTGAAAAGTTCAATTGAACTAACCTCAAAGTTCAAACTGAAACTCTTCTCCATTGTCCAGCTTCTTGCCTGCTTTTTGTTCTTCTTATCAATTATCATAATTTTCTTCTCTACTTCCTGTCAGAGTTCAAGAGATAATTCCACAAGCTGATAAGCAAGCAGATTACTTAATGACTTGAACTTCGAGCTCCTGTGTTTCTTCGTTGAATCTTCACTGCAGGTTATTGTGCATAACTAGTTTTTCAATCTACTTATGATTTTTTCCACTCAACAATGTCACTATCTTGATCATATCCTTTTTGTGGTCCATACAAGCCGTAAGCAACTTTTATGCATCAAAAAGAAGGTGAGAAATGATTTTTTTTTTTGAAAAGCAAAGGATTTTATTGAGAAGGTGAGAAATGATAAACAACAATGCAGCTTCGTTTACTATTAAAGATTTTGTTAGAAGTCTAGTAATATGGACTCAGAATCATGAAATCTGTGTATTTCAGTTTGATTTCATGTTGTTCTTTCTAATTCTCTTTCCAACTTACTATGCAGAAACAAATGGGAAATGCACAGATCCTAGCGCTCTACATCACTATATCTGTCATCACTTTTGTTTTATCAAAGATTATTGATTCTGTTCTCATTTACAAGAGATGGAAAAGAAAACAGATTGTTTTTGCAGAAGGTTTCGTGGGTATGCATGGTAGATTCAACATAATGATATTTCCTATTGGGGTTTTGATAACCTATAACAAGATTCACCAAAACTTGTTCGTTTCTTGATACAAGTGAGAAAATGGTAATCTTAAGTCTCCAATACTGCAGTCTTTGACATCAGATGACTTTTTGAAGAAGATATTGAAATTAAGCAACAAAGACATTATCGCTTTGGTGGATATGCCACGGTGTACAGATTAACCATTGATGACTCAGCAGCTTACGCTGTGAAGAGACTAAACAGAGGAAGTGCAGACAGGGACAGAGGATTTGAGAGAGAATTGGACGCAATGGGAGACAAAACACCGAAACATTGTGACTCTTCATGGATACTACACAGCTTCTCATTATAATTTTCTTGTATATGAGCTAATGCCTAATGGAAGTTTGTATACGTTTCTTCATGGTAAGTGATTCAATAGAAAACCAAGACATGAATCCAAATTTAACAGCTCAATTCAATGATTAGT